TAAAAAAAAAATATCCGCACTCTTGTTTAATGGTATGTTATAGTGAATGTGCAGGTAATTTTTTACTTACCTTCATATATACTAGGCATTATTCTTTAGTAAAACTTGCATTAGTTCCTTACAATTAACAAGGCCTATTTTTCTTGCATTTTCATCACATGTTTTTGATTTGGGGTCACTAGACACTTACTCAAGCACATTTGTGTCTCTTCAACACCCTCAGAGGCAACCTGTGGTTTATACTACAACTATGCTGATCAGACATTGAAATTTTGGGGAGAGAGTGTTTAATCTGCCTTGGTCAGGAGTTAAATATGACCAAAAAGCTCAAGCCCTCAGTCACAATGACTTGTGACTTTTTGTTAGCACAGCTATCAACAACTTCTGAACACTACTGTCTTCCCAATTTCACACACAAGAATTTGATCAAACTGTGGTTTGGTTTTCAGGCACTTCCTGAATTACAAATTTTAATGCAGTACTAAATTGTAGTAATAGATGTAGGAGACACTGTAGAGTAATGGATTGTGGCTCAGATTGAGAAATCAGAGAGCCGAGTTTGAATTCCAGTCAAGTTAATTACATTCACTTGTGTGATATTACTCTTGGGAAAGGTATGAATCCATCTCTTCTCCTTCCCAGTGATGGATAAATAGTAGGACAGACTGGATTCTATTGCCTTAGATGGCAACCTGTCTAAGAGAAGGAAAATTCTGAATCCAAAACTGTATGTAACCCTGGCAAAGTGCATATGATGAAGTTAAGGAAAGGACTGTTTGCATTAACTCGATGATCTCAACTACAGTCGACTAGATTGGCAACAAGGTCTCATCATATTACAGTTGATATGGCTAGTTGTAAAAATAAGTTCTATGCTAATAATTTCTTCCTTCACACTTCCCATTTGTGGAATTCTCTTCTGTTTTTTTTTATATTGCAATCAACTTTGATCTTCAAAAATTTAAATAAAATATCAATTGTTATCTGTCTTCTCAATTCTTGTTCTTTTATTGTCCTCTCTCCTTAATAATATTCTTCTTATACTCATATTCTTTCCCACTCAGTAACCCCTTGTAGTAGCTTTATTGACTTTTGGGGGGCAAAATGATTAAAAAAAAATTTTTTTTAAATGGTGCTCTATTTTAGAGTAATCTCCCCAGACTATTATTGACAAACAGTGACAAGAGGGACATAGAGAACTGGTAAGTAACCTACCTAAACTTATATAAATGGATGGCAGAAAAAGGAATGGTAAGGATAGTAAGGAGACAAATATAACTATGAAGGATAGGAAGTTGTGGTGAGCCATGAGTGCACATGTCATGAAGAGATATGATACATGAAAGAAGAAGACGTTTATCACAGTCTATTCCAAATTTGATCACTTTCTTCTCAGATATTGAAGAGTTACCCAATTTAGACTGTCAATCATTTATTTTTCAAAAAATCTTTACAGGACTGCAGTTTATATTCTTTAATTCTAAAGACATAAAATTAATTTTGCATTGGTGTAACTGGTGAAAAAACTGTAAGCTTCAGTACCAATTTACTGCTGCTGTTTCGGCAGTTGTTTGAGTAAGAGTTGATTGTCTGTGTATTCATTCTTATTTCTTGTTTATAAACATGACTTATCAGAGATATTGCTATAGCCAAATGCTGATTTTCAAGGGAGAAGCATTTTTCACTACTTGGAACTTTGGCATGAAGCAATCATTGTTAACTTCATTTCCCCTTGCACCATACTCATTAAAGCAACTTAAACATCTCTCATTTCTTTTCTTTTTTCTTTGTAGAAATATTAATAGTAATATTAGTAGTAGTTGTAATATTATTATTAGTAGTAGTTGTAATATTATTAGTAGTAGTTATATTAGTTTTAGTAGTAATATTAGTAGTTATAGTCATAACAGTTTCATAAAACTATAATTATTCTTGCAGTGGATGCATTATCAGTATAATTATTTTAACTGATTTTTATGTCAAAATTCTTATTACCATTGCTACTATCTGCCTTCTATAATTTCTTTAACATTACCTGCATAAAATCATGACCCAACTATCAACATATTCTCATCATATATCCATGTTTAATCATGATAAAAACCTCTTTAACTTAATTAGTATTACATTATTAATAATATCAATATGTGTAGAAATTCACTACAGAGCAAACCTTCTGTTAATAACTCTGAACTGCATTTATAACCCTGTCTTCTCAAAGTGGGTAATTTAGCAACTTTGTCTTGGTGCCTGTCATCCTACTTCTGTATGATGATTCTGACTGAAGAAGTTCTGCTGCTTTGATTATATCTGGTTAGATGACATATGTTCAATTGTGTGAATAGGATTTGGACCATGCTTTAGTTTCTGCTGGGACCTCTCAATGACATGAAGTGTACAGTTATAGCTTTGCTCTCTGACAACTTATATATATATATATATATATATATATATATATATATGTATGTGGGGGGGTGACATGAACTTGATTGAATTCTGGAAGAAAACCTGGTTTTCTTCAAAAAAAAGATAATGTCTATTTGAAATATGAAGGGGAAAATAAAAAATAAATAAAAAAAACTAAATTAAAAAACTATTAATAATATTAGTATTCTAAAAATTAAAACTAAAATTTTCTAAAGTATATCATTATATCTACATATACATATATATCCAAATACAATGTTGGTATATATATATATATATATATATATATATATATATATATATATTTGTATATTGATTTTCCATGTTTTTGCAATTTTGACAGGTAATTTGCATTGTCTCTGTAGTTATTTGAATGATTGAATCTTGATGAGTCTGTTTATTTGTCATTCGTATATTTGTGTGCTCATATATTCAGTCATATTTATGTGTTTGTGTATTATAACGTGATGTGTCTGTCTTGTCACCAATAAACCTTTCTTCCTCGTCCACTAAATCTCTAATCACAACCTTGCCAATGTAACTAATCTTGTAGCCATATATTACACCTCTTACTTCTGCTCAGAATATATGTATATAATTATATGTTTACCAGTTTGTGACTGGAAGGGATAATTCCAAGGAGGATATAAATCCAGGGAGAGCTCAATGTAGACTACAGAGCATTATAATGATAATAAGAAGATGGAGACTTTAATTATCCATTTCATTTATAATTCTCATTTTGTGAACACCGAGATGTTCAACTGATCAAAACAAAATGTCCTCCACACAAAAAAAAAAAATCAAAACAACATGAACATCTCGGTGTTCACAAAATAAAAATTATAAACAAAATGGATAATTAAAATCACCATCTTCTTATTATCAATATATATATATATATATATATATATATTAATAAATATACATATTATCCCTCACTGATAGCATGACTCAGTTTTATACACAACACACTCTTCAGGTGCTGAGTATAGAGTGACCATTGCATAATTTCAATTTAAAATAAAAATATCTGGTTATCACAATGTTGCTGCAGTTATATATTATACTGGGATTACAGTTTTAAAATAAACAGGTTTTTTATATATATATATATATATATATATATATATATATATATATATATATATATATATATATATATGTATATAAAAAATAATAATAATTTTAGAGTGGTTAATTTTTTATATTAGGCATAAAGGGAGATTACTTGTTTGCTTTTTTTTTTAAATAAAAACAAACCATAATTTACATTAAAAATTAATCTGGATCAACATATTTGAGCAGATATTTATTTTTTTGTCAACATGTAATCATCAATACATTTCTCTTGTTTAATAAGATAGGGTTAATTAAGTGTTTTAAGATAACTGATTTTTTAACAAGACATAAATTACATCTATTGCCTTTCCCATTGTAAGATTTGGCTCTTGCTATATATCCCATGTAATAATAGGTGTATTACCACCATTCTTTAATTGCCAAGTGTTTAGAGAGAACAGTGCTATTTATGCATTTTATATTACCTAAATTCATTCAATGATTTTAGAAACAAGATTTCCAAGGATTTTCAATGGAACCAAAATAAAATTTGACATTGTTATCAGAATGTATGATAGCTCAATATGCATAATTGTCAGTCATACCTTGATCATATGCACAGATCATATTTTTTTGTCAGTTGCATTTATTTTTTAAAAGATTAACTCTTTTGTGTATGTTAGACATGTATTTGTTTAATATAATATTGTTATGTTAGGATATAGATGTATCAATGTTACTAATGTGTGTTATAGTTGATCTTAACATTAGTTTTGTTCTAAAGCTTTTATATATTTAATTTTATTATTATTAAATATTTCCTTATTAATGGAGTTGGTAAATAAGCTAACTTGGACTGATTTATATAAATTATCTAGCATTTTATGATGGTGATTTGATTCCTTACTGACATATCTATGTTTATATAGATCTTTGGTATACGATTTGTAATAACTGTTATTCAATTCCAAGGTCACATTGAGAAAGTTGATCACTCTAGCATTGATGGTAGTGATAGTATTTAGCTGGTGATCTTTGAAAAATTTTATCATTTACTTTCTCAATAGGTCTATATTTCTTGGACTTGTTTTATGGAGGAAAATTACACTGTTATTTCTATCGGTGAGTGATAATATGTATATTTATTAATATATAATAAATAGCTCAGTTTTATTACATCAAGCAGTTTTATTATTTATGTAATTATAATATATCACACATATAGAATCTTAGTATGTCTAACTTCCAAACCTCACTACATATTAATTGTTCAATCTTGTTCTTTCTGCCATCTTGTTATCTCAATAATCTCTAGATCAAATACGCCAACAAGCAGATATTATTTGGAGGGAAAAGTGTTTTATTGATATTTTTTCAATTCTAAGTAAAAGAATGAGCATTTGGCTACCACTCCTGTGTGGCGCAATGGATCGGGATGTTTATTCAATATCATTGTGAGCAGAACTCCCAGGGTTGAATATGAGTACTGGACTTATTGATAGTTACAATGAATGCTTTCTGCAACTGTAATTTATCCATCTATCTATCTCCGTCTATTCATATATATTTTGCATGCTAGGTATTTAAAGAAAAGCCATCTGAATATTGAATAATGCCTATCCCTAGATAGGATTAGTATTATACATAAGGCAAGCATTATTTTCTCTTTAAAGGTCACTATATATATATATATATATATATATATATATATATATATATATATATATATATATATATTGTCTGTATTATTTATTTTGAATTTATGCAAATGAGTTATACTTGTAAATATATTAATACCAAAACATTAGTCTTTCTCAGTGATGGAAATTAAAGCAAGGGAAAGTATTTCCTTCTTCAGTGTATGTTTTCCTTTGGAATGATATTCAGCCGAAAAATTTAACAATCTCAAAACAAATGAATACATGAATTTTATATATAACCAAGAATATGTGTAACATAGTTCAGAAAAGGAGAGAAAAATCCATTTTTCATCAAACTAGTAACTTTATTTATCTTAGTAAATAAGAATGAGAAGAGATATCTGTAGACATGGCCAGTGGAATGAAAACAACCAACCCACATGGATTAAATAGAAGGTTCAGTTTAAAATTTCCTGAAGGTTACCCAGACTGGCAAGCAACTAATGAAGGCCGGATTACACAATGGTTGAAAGGTGATACTAAAAAAGATGAGTAGAGTAGTCCAGATGCAAAAAATCTAAATAATAAATAACTCTTCATCCCCAAAATTCAGGCAGAAACAAACAAGAAGTTATAGAGAGCCACATTCTGAAGGACATGTTATATAATAGAAAATTAAGCAAAACTAAACCTTTTAGTCTGAGTGACTGACATTATATATCTTGGATAAACTTTGAATGAGATTAGGATACCACTTTGTTATGGGAATCATCAGTCTGTAGTGGTATTATCTCATTTCTTGAACTGGAATACTTTCTTGTGTTGGAAATTGATATATAGTTATGTGATAGGTTGTAATGGACATTATTGTGGTCACATGAAGCATTTTTTAACAGGATTTGATTTGTAAATTGATTAATTTTAATGGCTTATCAACCTTTAGCAGGTTATTTAAATAGAGAATATTTTTAGATTGTAAGAAATTTTTGAAGATAATTTACTGATACAGGTTCTACTAATTAACTCATAGCAGGGGGAAGAAGAGGTGGATTCATACCTTTCCTAAGGTTATTTGTGTGTAAGTGAATATAACAAACTTAATTAGAATTGGAACTCAGCTCTCCAATTTTCAATTCTGTGCCATTATCCATTACAACATCCACACATCCAAGCTTACAGCACCTGTTATTCCCAAGCAGTTACCCATCTTTTCTTTTATACTATTTTATACAATACCATCTAGTGGGTATTAAGAGAAGTCAACTGGCAAACAAGGTGGATGATCACATAACTTTTTTTTCTCGAAAGTCAATGTCCAAAGATACTTTCTTCAGAATAATCAGCATTAGCATTGGATTATAGAAAAAAAAGAAAGTCAATGTCCAAAGATACTTTCTTCAGAATAATCAGCATTAGCATTGGATTATAGAAAAAAAAGAAAGTCAATGTCCAAGATACTTTCTTCAGAATAATCAGCATTAGCATTGGATTATAGAAAAAAAAAAAGTCAATGTCAAAGATACTTTCTTCAGAATAATCAGCATTAGCATTGGATTATAGAAAAAAAAAGAAAGTCAATGTCAAAGATACTTTCTTCAGAATAATCAAGCATTAGCATTGCATTGGATTATAGAAAAAAAAGAAAGTCAATGTCCAAAGATACTTTCTTCAGAATAATCAGCATTAGCATTGGATTATAGAAAAAAAAGAAAGTCAATGTCAAAGATACTTTCTTCAGAATAATCAGCATTAGCATTGGATTATAGAAAAAAAAAGTCAATGTCAAAGATACTTTCTTCAGAATAATCAGCATTAGCATTGGATTATAGAAAAAAAAAAGTCAATGTCCAAAGATATTTTCTTCAGAATAATCAGCATTAGCATTGGATTATAGAAAAAAAAAAAAAGTCAATGTCAAAGATACTTTCTTCAGAATAATCAGCATTAGCATTGGATTATAGAAAAAAAAAAAGTCAATGTCCAAAGATACTTTCTTCAGAATAATCAGCATTAGCATTGGATTATAGAAAAAAAAAAAAGTCAATGTCCAAAGATACTTTCTTCAGAATAATCAGCATTAGCATTGGATTATAGAAAAAAAAGAAAGTCAATGTCCAAAGATACTTTCTTCAGAATAATCAGCATTAGCATTGGATTATAGAAAAAAAGAAAGTCAATGTCCAAAGATACTTTCTTCAGAATAATCAGCATTAGCATTGGATTATAGAAAAAAAAGAAAGTCAATGTCCAAAGATACTTTCTTCAGAATAATCAGCATTAGCATTGGATTATAGAAAAAAAAGAAAGTCAATGTCCAAAGATACTTTCTTCAGAATAATCAGCATTAGCATTGGATTATAGAAAAAAAGAAAGTCAATGTCCAAAGATACTTTCTTCAGAATAATCAGCATTAGCATTGGATTATAGAAAAAAAAAGTCAATGTCAAAGATACTTTCTTCAGAATAATCAGCATTAGCATTGGATTATAGAAAAAAAAAAAAGTCAATGTCCAAAGATACTTTCTTCAGAATAATCAGCATTAGCATTGGATTATAGAAAAAAAAGAAAGTCAATGTCCAAAGATACTTTTCTTCAGAATAATCAGCATTAGCATTGGATTATAGAAAAAAAAGTCAATGTCAAAGATACTTTCTTCAGAATAATCAGCATTAGCATTGGATTATAGAAAAAAAGAAAGTCAATGTCCAAAGATACTTTCTTCAGAATAATCAGCATTAGCATTGGATTATAGAAAAAAAGAAAGTCAATGTCAAAGATACTTTCTTCAGAATAATCAGCATTAGCATTGGATTATAGAAAAAAAAGAAAGTCAATGTCAAAGATACTTTCTTCAGAATAATCAGCATTAGCATTGGATTATAGAAAAAAAAAAGTCAATGTCCAAAGATACTTTCTTCAGAATAATCAGCATTAGCATTGGATTATAGAAAAAAAAAAGTCAATGTCAAAGATACTTTCTTCAGAATAATCAGCATTAGCATTGGATTATAGAAAAAAAAAAGTCAATGTCCAAAGATACTTTCTTCAGAATAATCAGCATTAGCATTGGATTATAAAAAAAAGAAAGTCAATGTCAAAGATACTTTCTTCAGAATAATCAGCATTAGCATTGGATTATAGAAAAAAAAAAAAGTCAATGTCAAAGATACTTTCTTCAGAATAATCAGCATTAGCATTGGATTATAGAAAAAAAAAAGTCAATGTCAAAGATACTTTCTTCAGAATAATCAGCATTAGCATTGGATTATAGAAAAAAAAAAGTCAATGTCCAAAGATACTTTCTTCAGAATAATCAGCATTAGCATTGGATTATAAAAAAAGAAAGTCAATGTCCAAAGATACTTTCTTCAGAATAATCAGCATTAGCATTGGATTATAGAAAAAAAAAAGTCAATGTCAAAGATACTTTCTTCAGAATAATCAGCATTAGCATTGGATTATAAAAAAAAAAAGTCAATGTCAAAAGATACTTTCTTCAGAATAATCAGCATTAGCATTGGATTATAGAAAAAAAAAAAGTCAATGTCCAAAGATACTTTCTTCAGAATAATCAGCATTAGCATTGGATTATAAAAAAAAAAAGTCAATGTCCAAAAGATACTTTCTTCAGAATAATCAGCATTAGCATTGGATTATAGAAAAAAAGAAAGTCAATGTCCAAAGATACTTTCTTCAGAATAATCAGCATTAGCATTGGATTATAGAAAAAAAGAAAGTCAATGTCCAAAGATACTTTTCTTCAGAATAATCAGCATTAGCACTGGATTATAGAAAAAAAAGAAAGTCAATGTCAAAGATACTTTCTTCAGAATAATCAGCATTAGCATTGGATTATAGAAAAAAAAAAAAGTCAATGTCAAAGATACTTTCTTCAGAATAATCAGCATTAGCATTGGATTATAGAAAAAAAAGAAAGTCAATGTCCAAAGATACTTTCTTCAGAATAATCAGCATTAGCATTGGATTATAGAAAAAAAAAAAAGTCAATGTCAAAGATACTTTCTTCAGAATAATCAGCATTAGCATTGGATTATAGAAAAAAAAAGAAAGTCAATGTCCAAAGATACTTTCTTCAGAATAATCAGCATTAGCATTGGATTATAGAAAAAAAGAAAGTCAATGTCCAAAGATACTTTCTTCAGAATAATCAGCATTAGCATTGGATTATAGAAAAAAAAGAAAGTCAATGTCCAAAGATACTTTCTTCAGAATAATCAGCATTAGCATTGGATTATAGAAAAAAAAAACAATCTTGTTAAATATCTAAATATCCTTCAATTTTAGAAGTATTTTTGGATTTCTTTGGAACAGACCTCTTTCAAATTGGGCCTAATTTTATTCCATATAGCTATACCTCAAGCTATCTAGTCATTTCATACTTGTACATGTTGGTCTTTTTCAAAAGGCCCATATTTTTCTACAGAACAAACTTTTTCTAATTTTGTCCCTTATAGCTATATCTAAATCAATTTCAGCATCTAATGATTATATATATATATATATATATATATATATATATATATATATATATACTTGGGTAGCAATTTTTAATTTATTAAAGTTTGGTTAAAGACCAATGAAAGTTCTTTTTTAAGGACTTTTTATTTATTTTCTTTATATTTCTCAGACCTTTACCAATAGCACAAAATAGTATATCACATAAACTATAAAAAATGACTACAAAAACTAGAAGCATTAACCATAAAAAAACAAACAACACACCATAAATGAAATATCAACATTAAGAAAAAAACAATAAATATATTTCATAAATAAAAAAATTTAAAAAATACCTGACAACACTCACCTAAGACACAACATTTGAAAATGGTAAAATTAACATAGCACAAAAAGCAAACTCTTTGATAATAGTCTTTAAAATCCCAAAGTAATCAGACATTGAACAATTTGGGAAATAATATGTACTGTGAAACAGGAAAATAGTATGAAATATATAAAAAAAAAAAAAAATCCTTGGCAAAGAACTTTTGTTGATTGTTAACCAATCTTGGATATATATATATATATATATATATATATATATATATATATATATATATATATATATATACTTATATGATGGTCTTCTTCTGCAAAAAGTGACAATCTTTTCAGTTGATAGCTATTTTTTATGTTTTTCATTCAGAATTTTATTGTTTCCATCATTTATACTCAAGCTAACATTCTGCTATGGGTCCATAAGTTTTTCTTAAGGCTGGCTTCATTTTATAACCTCTCTTACACATGTGGCAAACATAAAGTTTGTCTGTATTACCTATTTTGGAAACTTGCCTGTCCCTGTGTACAATCCTGTGACATTTGAGCCCTGCAACAGACTTACAAACCTTGTCACAAAACCCACACAAATAACCTGCAGGTCTTTCTGCCCGGGGTGCATTCACAGGAGTTTGCACCTAACTTCTTGGGTGTGATCTCACATGACTGGCTAAACCAGTTGCTGAAAGGGTGACTTTTCCACAAATACTACAAGTGTGTTGCTGTTGTCCTAATAGCACTGGGATTGATTCTATTTCTCCCTTCCTAATGGTGCATTTTTTGTTGGAATTCTCAATTCCTCTCTGTTAAAATTGCTGCAGCATTTCCAAATCAACTTATCTCTAGTAACAGTTTACCAGTCTTCAACATTAACATCTTTAGGTTACATTTTACTACATCCTTGAAATGGTTTTTGGCTTATGAGTAGGTTGATAACCTTGTAACAGCTTACCATAAAAAATCTTCTGGGCAGTCCTCCATATGTGTCATATGACCTTGTCTAGTGCATTTCTTTACAGAGAAGTAGTTTCTCTATACTGGCTATGTTTGTGGGCTGAAGTCTTTTTGTTTGTGGTGTGCAAAACTGGCAATTGATGTCCAAGATTTGTATCAGGCCCCGCTGGTGAAAACAGTTTAAGACTTTAATATGCCATCAATAGGTGGTCCACAGAGGAATATGAAAGCCGGGGTGGGGTGGGGATTTAGGACAACAGTTTTGCAAATGCTGATCTTTGTGCTTAAGGTGATGTTACGATCAGGCCATACTCTCTTTTCAAGTTTTCTGAATGCTATATATATATAGTCCATATCTATCTCTCCCTTTCTGTATATTTATCTAAGTATATGATTTTGAAGACCTAAGTGCATTAATGAGGAGGAAAATCATGCAATAGATGAACTGAGATGAAAAAAAGTTGTAGGAAGATAAATCATTTTTTGAATAAATTCATTTTTGTGCTTTGATTTGTCTTTTTTCAAAAAATGGATTAAAAATCATAAATCATTACTCACCCAGAAACTGGATCCACAGCAATGCCTCTCGGCTGATCCATTTGGGAGCCAAAAAGAATCCTCCTCCCACCCCCATCATAGTTGGACATTTCAAGCCGACTTGTCTTGGCATCAGTCCAGTAGAGATGATTTGTAACCCAATTGACTGTAAGACCATTACATTCTTCAACATCTACAACAAAAATAAAATGAACATGAAACATGAAATAAAATATTGGGAATAATCAAAAGAACAAATAGGAAAGCTCTTAAAATTTGAAAGGGAGTTTTATTTAAAACATCAAAGTGTTTCATTTATTTATTTTTTCTTTGTAAGTTTTTGTTTAAAACATAAAGAAATTGATTAAGAAAACTATATGCAAGCTATCTATGTATATCAATTTGTTCATATCTAAGTCTAATCATATCTATCTACCTTAATTTGTTCATATCTATATATCTCAGTCTGTTTATATCTATCTATCTATCTATCTATCTATCTATCTATCCCTGTTCATATCTATCTATCTCAGTTCATTATCTAGCTATCTACCTGTCTAGCTATATAACTATCTACCTACCTCAGTCTATTCATATATATCTAACTATATGTCTATATATATATTATTTACATTATTCGGACTATTGTCCTCGTTTTTGTCGCTAAATTTATTACAACGTCTTGGCCATTGTACACTCCGGCCTTCTTCAGGTGGTTGGAATCTCGAACTTTATTTCACTCACTGGGGTAGACTGTTCTAGTTCCACATGCCATGTTTAATGGATGACAGTTATCTCCTGTTAATTTCCCTCTGAAAGTTCTCCACTGCCTTAACCAGGTATTGAACTCACTCCTATCACTGGATCTAACTAACACTTTTATCCACTTGAGGACACATGTTACAGTGGATTTAACTAACGCCTTTATCCACTGTGCCATGTGTTATACATGGCACAGTGGATAAAGGCGTTAGTTAAATCATCTGTACCATGAAGGCTGGAGCGTACAACAGCTGAAACGTAATAAATATGGCGACAGAGATGAGGACAATAGTTCAAATAATTTAAATAATGTACATAATACCTCATCTCATAAATCTAGACAAATGTCTATATACACACACACATATATATATAAATACACAATATATATATATATATATATATATATATATATATATATATATATATATATATATATACGAACACATAGATATTGATATATATATATATATATATATATATATATATATGCAACAGATTGATATATATATACCTACGGTTAAATGGAGTTTGGTTAAGAAAGCTCGAACATGTAACTCCCTATATGCCCCATGTTACCTATGCCTTAACGAAAAATTTGAAATTATTAGATTTAAAAACAAGGCTGATCTCTTAAATCAAAGATATGAACTTACAGTTAATTGTAAACACCGTTATAAATTTAACTTAGTGTAGGGGTCGTATACTTTAAATGATAATGTTATGTCGCTGTAATTTTAATAGATTAGTATTTTTATTGCATGATGGTCATACTTACGATATAAATGTGTATTGTTTACCTGCATAGTGTTATTAGTGTTGGTGTATATGTGTATATATTTATTTATGTGTTGGTTAGAGCATTTGCACTGAGGAATGTGTAGGTTTGAATATAAATGTATTTATATGTTTTTTTTTTGTTTTTTTTTAATATCTATATGTGTGTGTGTGTGTATATATATATGTGTGTGTGTGTGTGTGTATATATATATATATATATATATATAATGTGGGAAGGTATGGTAGATTAGAAGAAAAGGTTAAAATTGTTGATGTATATGTGTATGTGTGTGTGTGTATATATGTATGTGTGTATGTGTGTGTGTGTATATATATATGTATATGTGTGTATATGTATATATATATATATGTATGTATATATATAAATATATATATATGTATATATGTGTGTATATATATGTATGTAGGTGTGTATGTGTGTATATGTATGTATGTGTGTGTATGTGTATATATATATCTATATGTATATGTGTATGTATGAGCACCCTGCAGCGGTATAATGGTTGGCAAGCATGGTTCGCTAGATCAATTGCGACTGAGTAGTGAGTTCGTTCCTCACTGGGTGCCCCCTAATTTCGGCTTTGTGCCACGATATATTTGTATATATATGTATATGTGTGTGTGTATGTATGTGTATATATATATATATATCTGTGTGTGTATATATGTGTATATATATATATATATCTGTGTGTGTATATATGTATATATCTGTATGTGTCCTGTTTTATTGTGTATGTATATTTATATTTAAGTATATTTCTGTTTGTATGAATGTGTTTATATATTTGTATGTTAGGATATATGTATATTGGTGTGTGTTGGTATTTGAATGTATATTTATGTATGTATATGTAAGTACATATATATATGTATTTGGTTGAGTGTTGTTGTATTTAAATGTATACATGTATATATTGGTAGTTGTTATAGTAGATAGATATATTTATATATATGTTTATTTGTAGATATGTATGTATGTGTGTATATATATTTATGTATGTTTGTGGATGTATATGTGTGTGTTGGCACCTATTATGTATGAGTTTGTTTGTGTGTATGTGTGGGTATGGAAACTTTGGTATGTCATTACTGCCACAGTAGTTAGTCTATGTGTATATATATGTTCATATATGTATTGGGGCATGTATGTATATTGGGACATATTTTTTTTATATATGTGAGTATGTGTGCATAAAAATGTGTGTATATATGTTTGTATTTATGTTTATATGTATATGTGTGTGCATGTGTACTTGTTATCATAGATATGTATATGTGCGTATATGTTTATGTTTATATATTTATATGTATGTATTTCTGTATGTATATGTATGTATGAGTGTATGTTTATGTGTGTTAATTTGTGTTTGCTGCTGCGTGTATATATATGTATATGCATATGAATGTACACTTATTTCTGTGGGTTTCTTTATCCTGTTTTTCTTTGCCTAATATATAATGAAACTATTATCAACTTATATGATTAAAATATATTTTTATTGATATTTGTGGTTTTAGAATTTTCGTTTTAATATATTAAATAATATTATTTTAATCATTTTTATCTTTGTATATTTGCTCCCTTAAGTTATAATTTAATAAGTGGTTAGCATTTATTTAATGATACTTTAAGTCTTAAATATTTATTGGTTGTGGTATCTGATTGTCTAGCTCATTGTCTGTGGATGTGTGTATGTGTTTCTATCGGTGTCTATGTGTATGTAGAGTGTATTCACATTTAATTGTGTGTGTGTATAGGTGTTAGTTTCCCCGTTTCCTTTTTTCATAAAGGGTCGTAGTGATGTTCCTGTCTCGTCGCCTTTTCTACCCCCCCTTTTTTTTGCGTGTGTATATATATATCTAAATATGTCTGGGTGCTTATGTATTATAATCTGATTGTGTTTTTGTTGTTTTGCGCGTGAGTTTAAGACCACATTCACACACCTTAGAATAAAAAATATATATACATGTATTGTCAAATGACTGGATATATTAGAAATAAATTGAATAAACATATATATTTTTTCTTTTCTCAATAATTTTGTAGTTTTTGAACTTAATAGTGATTAAATTTGGATTTTAAAATTGCCAGTTTTTAATTTTAATATTAAATTTTATCATATAATTTTATAATTATTGGTTAGTATAAATTATTTTTAATATTACATGTATTTTAAAGATCTGAATAGCTATTATAACATGATTTCGTTGTCAAGCTTTTGAATCTTTCTATACTTAGTTTTTGATTGGTTATTCTAGCTTTTGTAACAATGTTTCCCCCTAGTGTAGGATCGTTGATTAATCTGAAACTTTTAAAACCATTTATTTTATCTTCAACATCATCACTTGATAAGACACCGAGTGTGTTGAAACAAAATGGCTATTTTTGTAGTGATTTTAATTTTTTTATAAATAATAATTATATATATATATATATATATATATATATATATATATATATACATATAGATATACAGAAATATTGTTTTTAAAATGTGCTATAGTTATGGGATGAAGTGCTCTATATCAGAGATCGAGCGTATGTAAATATAAATATAAAAGTGAACATGGAAGGCAACAGGCTGTTTCATGCTAGACGCAATTTTCAGGTCGACGATTACGTCTAGCATAAAACAGCCTAAACCTCTGAGTTTAATTTCAATCTATATGTGTGTGTGTGTGTGTGCATGTGTATGTACATTTCTTAATATATATGTATAAGATATATATATATATATATATATATATATATATATATATATATATATATATATAATATACATGTAACACACACAAAAAATATATATATATATATATAAATATATATATATATATATATATATATATATATATATATATATATATATATATATATATATATATATTAAAAATATACATATTATCCCTCACCGATAGCATGAGGTGCTGAGTATATACAAGCAGTTACATAATTTAAATTTTAAAAAACATATCTGCTTATTGTAATGTAGATATATATTGTACTGGTATTTTTGCTTTTTAATTTTAAAAATTATATTTTGCATTCAAAATAAATAGGATTGTTATAAAAATGTAAAAAAAAATACAGCATTTTTTATTCTGGATTTATGAATATTAATTATTTTATTATTAATGGATGATTACTTATTCCTTTTTATTTTTCTATATATATATATTAAAAACAAACAAACCATAATTTAACTTAAAAATATACCACAATTTATATTAAAAATTAATCTAGATCAGCGTATTAAAGCAGATATTTATTTTATGCCTACATGTAACCATCAATTCATTCCACTTGTTTAATAAGCTACAGTTATTTAAGTGTCTTAAGATAACCAATTTTTCAACAAGACATAAGTTACTTTTATTTCCTCTTCCATTATAAGATTTGGCTCTTGTTATAATTGATGGATGGTGAAATGCCATCATTCTTTAATTGCCAGAAATATCTGGAGAGAGCAATGCTGCATTTGTATTTTATATTAACTAAATCATTTGATGATGGTAGAAATGAAATTTCTAAGTATTTTCAGTGGAACCAAAACAAAATTTAACATTGTTACTGGAATGTATGCTCATTCAGTATACAATATTATTGACCAGTGTTTCAGCAGTCATACATTGACTGTTTTAGGCAGTTGCATTTGATTTTGGAAATATTTACATAGATTTTATATATATATATATTAAAATATGAAAGAATAGTAAGATTTATAATCCGGTGATCTTAGGAAGTATTTTTATTTTTAAAAAAACAATGCCCAATACAAATAGTAGAGTATAATATTATAATTATTTTCTTTTTTAAAAATATGATTAATCATATTTTAAAAAAAGAATTATTATATATATATATATATATATATATATATATATTCATAAATACAACACATACAGACATATATATATATATATATATATATATATATATATATATATATAATAAAGGTAAAAAACCCA